ATAATAAGGCAGGTAAACGTTGACTGGTGTTAGATTGTAGGAACGTTATTTTTTTTGTTCTTGTTCAAATTCAACGTTCATTGTAAAGACGCGTCTCTCGCTTGACAATTATTTGTTCGTGTGGAAAAATCAGGGCTATTTTGGATTCTCCCAAGATTCTAGTTACGGTCGTAGGTATTGTGTATCCAAGGCGTTTTACTTTGGAATTTGGCATTTCCATCACGCCATGTTTATTCACAAAAATACCAAAGCGAAGGTAAGTTGTTGGTCAGTTGCGTGTGTGTGAGCTTGCATCAACGTATCGATGAAATCAAAGCTAATAACGATTTATTTAAATCTAGAGCTCTTTCAAACCGTGCATGTTTGAAGGAATCAGTAAAACACTGCAATTCCACAATAGGTATATTTGTGCATGTTTTCATCATGTTAGATAAGCGAGTTAGGAATTTAATGCGCATGAATGGGACTACGCCATGCTTCCGTACATGACGGCCATGGTGGTTTATAATGTTAAACAAGAAGGTAAGTGTGTATGTGGTAAGTGTTCTGTATAGCATTGTTGAAAGTTCAACCTGGCGAGCACTCGTTGAAGCTCACTGTTTGTTATTAAGAAAGATTTGAGCGGATAACCAGGAAGTGGTGAGGATTGCATGTAACAGTAAATACTTAGGTCATACACCGTGTGTGTTTTTTATACTGACACTTCCTCAATTGGCTATGGCAGATGTATTGATCAAGAAGGTAAGTGGTCTCTATAAGGACACGTTGGAAGTTCAACCTAGAAGGAACTCGTTGCAGTTCACCGTATATTATTATGAAACAGTAAAAGTTTTGAAGGCTTAAACGTGCAATTGTGCACAAATAACTAGATCGTGGCGAAGATTGTGAGAGTCTAAAGTAGTGTCAGGGGGAAAATCTTCTCTCTCTGGGTTCTCCACACTTGTCAGGGGGGAATCTCGTCTCGTCTCTCTATCTCGTCCCCTTGAGGTACGGGATCGGGAAAGTCACTTTAACTTTACAGTCAAATAAGACACACACAACGAAATACGTTTCAACTCTCGTCTTAGTCGATCAGTCGAGCACTCTATAAGACACAGCGCCCTGGGGAAAAGTCCCCAAGACTCTCACAAGGCTGAACCAAGACTCGCCCAAGACTGGACTGCCTCAAGGCTCGCCCCTGGACTGGACTCTCGACTGCCCAGGACTGCACTCTCTCTACTCTGACTGCGTCTATCGTGCTGTGCTCCCCAAGACCAACTCAAACTCTCTTTATTCATTTTCAAAACTCTAACCAATTGCAAAACAGTAAAAAGACTCTAGGGCGTAACCTTCAATCATAAAGCCAATCACACTAAGCACTGAATACGTCATATCTTTTGATTAATCGTTCACTACATTAATAACTATGGATACCAACTGTCAGAATCGCGACGGTTATCTGGTAATTAGTTCCAAATCACTGAGCCAAGTTCCGTCCAAAACTTCAAATAGGCCTAAACGATGACAGACATAACACAGCAATTCAGCTAATAATCAACTA